TGATGATGATGATGATGATGATGATGATGATGATGATGATGATGATGATGATGATGATGATGATGATGATGGAACCATCAAGAAAGAAACAGAAGGTTTAATATTGCCTGCTCAAGAGCAAGCACTACAAACTAATGTGATGAAACTGAAGATACAAAAATCCACTGACAATCCAAACTACCAACTTTGCAATGACAAAGTCAAAACTTTGACATTTAATATGTGAATGCAGAAAAATTGCACAAATTGATTACAAAGCAAGATATGACTGAGCTGCTAAATTAATCCACTGGTCATTATGTAAAAAATACAATTTACCTGTATCCAAAAAATCATGCGAACATAAAGTGGAAAACGTTATCGAAAATGAGAAGGTGAAGATCTTATGGGACTTTCAAATACAGATGGATCATCATTTGGAACACAGATATCAGTGGAACAACTTGCCTCCAGAAGTTGTGAATGCTCCAACACTGGAAGTCTTTAAGAAGATGTTGGATAACCATTTGTCTGAAGTGGTGTGGGGCTTCTTGCCTAGGCAGGGGATTGGACTAGAAGACCTCTAAAGTCCCTTCCAACTCTGCTATTCTATTCTATCACATTGCGAAAACTGAAACATACAATTTATTGATATTGCAGAAGCAGGAGACACCAGAGTGAAAGAAAAAGAACTGGAAAAAAATCACAAAATATTGTGACCTGGCTATCTTAACAACACAGTTATGGATGAAACATATAACAATGATACCCATTGTCATCAGGGCACTTGGCACCATGTCCAAGAATTTTACAAAACACATAAAGAAATTGCAGCTTCCTGCAATAACACCAGGAGAACTGCAAAAAGCTGCGCTGCTCGGAACATCATATATTTTAAGAAGATACTTAGTTGAAACTTATAGTAGGACGCTGACAGCAACCCATATCAACCTTTATCACCAGTCAATGGTATTTGTGACAAATCTTTAAATGTTCACTTGGCTGAGTTTCATGCTTAATGAATACAAGAGATAATAATACTAATAATATCATTTATTGTCATTGTACATCACATATATAACAAAATTGGTTTAGCCTCATCTTTTTTCCAAGAGTCAGTACTCCTCTAACTGAATTTAGCAGAATTGCTATGCTGCAGATTCCATCAGCCAAAGATTGGGAGGGAATAGAAGATGCTGTGAACCCTGCTCTGCGGAACATCCTCCCATTGGATATTAGAATGACCCCAAACCTCTAAACCATTTTTAAGGTCCTAAGAACTTAGCTATGTTTCCAAGTTTGTTTTTTATTGTTTAAAATGTTTTTAATGTTTTAATTGTATTTTTTTTTCTGAATTGTAAGCCATCCAGAGTCAAGGACTGAGATGGGCAGCTGTAGAAATGGAATAAATAAAATAATAAAATAAAACTCATCCAGATAAATTGACGGTTGACTGACAGTTAGAATGGCTGAGATTCTAAATGTATCTCTTCCTGCATTTTCACTGCAGCCATATTCAGTGTAATACGCTTTTATGGCAATACTTAGTAGCAAAACAAGGAATATGTTTTCAATTACTTTAACTCAAAATTCAGAAGAAATTATGAATTTCAGATTATTCAAAGAAATGCAAATGCACTTTTATTTTATTTTATTTTCTTCAGTTACATTTTCCTATACCAAAACGTTATTCATTCTAAACATGCTGTCATGGTTATGATGTTTCTACATTTCTATCATCTTACCTGTTTAATTACTTTTTGAAATATATATTTTATGGCATTGAGAAGGGAGGAGAATTTCAGAGTGATTCTAAATAACATTTTTACAATGTTAATGAATGCACTTCGGCGGGGAGGGGGGGAAACCAGATGTAGCATTTGGAAACTTAGAGGTCTTTCATGGGTTGCTTGTAACC